TGGCTGGTGCCTTAGCCGGTTGAGCTATAGGCGCCGAGCCCTCCAGCTAATTTCTTAAGGCTGCTACTACTCCTCCCAGGCTGCAGGTTAGGAAATGACACTTGGTTAGCAGGAGAGTCGTTGGAGTTAGGCTGATCTGACTCCAGCCTTCCATTTTCCAGTCTCTCAGGGAAACTGTTTCACTTTCCACGGTTTCAGTTACCCACACATGATGAGCATTTAAAAAATATTTTGTTATTTTAATTTTCCTGAAACATTTAAGTGGAGAATTCTTCAGTGAATAAATATGCCATGAATAAAACTTCGGGGAAACACATCAGAATGTGCTTGATTACAGGGCACCGTGTATATCCCTAACAGGGAAGGTGGTGGAGAGGAGTATAAAGAAAGATTCACTGTTGCAGAGAAATGTCTTCGTGTTGGCTTAAAGAGAAACACACTAAAATCAAGCCTTGGTTCTTTGGGTCTCCGATCCCTGGTCTCTGGTTCTTCCTCCCTGCCTGGAAGGGTCCTTTGTCATTACCCCACCCAGGACATCAGTTTAGAAGGAGCCACCCCACTGGTTCTTACCAGAACTCTCCAGGACTCAAATCTTGAATAAAATCCTAACAGGTAAGACAGCAGGAACATCAGGGAGATGAGGAACGAGGTGAGCGAGACGTACAACACCCATCCTTGCAGCAACGGGTATGCTACCTGGGTAGCGGCTACCAGGATCCAGACCCAGAGCCCGAATACCTGTAAGGGAAAAGCATAAAGCAGCTTCATTTGCTTGTGTGGGGCATGCTTCTCTTTGCAGGGGGTTTCTTTTTTTCTCTGCCTCTGGTTAAAAGCTCAAGTGAAGTTAGGGGTGAACCAAGAGGGAAACGAGGAAGGAAGTCTGCGCCCTCTGAGTCACCTAAAGCCGGGTCCTATTGTTAGAAAATCTAAGAGCTTGCGAATGGAGGGACTCTCAGCCAAGTTTGGCCTGTGGATGTCTTCTCAGCCAAAGCAGTGTTGGCATGTACAATTTTAAACAATTCTGAATGAGTTGTCAACATTTTTTTTTTAAAAATGAGGTCTCACTATATTGCCTAAGCCAATCTCAAACACCTGGCCTCAAGAGATGCCACCAACCTTATGCCATCTGTGGCATGTTCCCTGTTGCTCATAGACTGTGGAATAGTATTCTTCTTCTTCCAGCTCCCTTCGCCCACTGACAACGCCTGCCAGGTAGCCAGGTCATTGTACCTGATGCTCAGGAGTCAGATACCACCCGGGCAATGCGGTTCCAGCTTACTTACCTCTCACCTCTGTCCACCTATTTGTTATCCTCTTGGTGGAGAAACCAACCCTTTTCCCTGTCCTTCTCTGTGGTCTCTGCCTTGGTTTGCCTTCAGGCTGGGCTTGCACCCATGTTGGTGAGCTCAGGCAGGACCTGAATGTCCAGCAGATGGCATGTCCGGTTAGAAGCTCGGACGAACACCAAGGGGTTTTGTTATTAGTTTGTCTCTGACTTTCTGAGCTCCTCTCCTTCCTGGGGCTTTCTTAGGATGTCATTGTAGCCCTCCTTATTTCTTTCTCATAACTCCTATTAAATCTGTGCTTTTAAGCACCATATAGGCTGGGATCTCAGGAACCCACCTGCAGCCCACTTCTCTCTGTGGCTTTCAGCCCTACACATCTGCCTGCTCACTGGAGGTCTCCACTTGTATGTTTCTCTTCAGGAGCTGACCCTGTACTTGCCTGACCTCAAGAGGGAGTACCTTATTAAATTTTGTACCCTAGGCATCTCACTTCCTCACTCCAGTCCTGGTCCTGTTCCTCAAACTCTTTACATTCAACACATACACAATCTGAACCTTTTGCCACCCCGAATTCATTCAGAACCCACCCTCTTCAGCCCCTGCTGAAAATGACCTATCTGAGGGGAGACAGTTCTAGGATTGGGAATGGGTATACTGAGGCCTCCAAAGGGAATGATAATGTTCTATTTCTATTTCATAGCGGATACACAGGGATTTATCTTTTATAAAGCAAGAAGATAATTTTGAAAAAGAAGAACCTATTTGACGGTGAAACCACTGGACATTTGGAGTAATGGGGAAGGGGGACCCAAAGATGACTCTGAATTTGTGGTTTGGAGAAATTACACTACCATATTTGAAAACTTTCTATAAAGTTATGGTAATCAAAAGAGTTGTCAGTGCATGTGACTCACATTTATGTCCATTTTAGGAGATAACTCATCTTCTTCCTAAGTTCTGTTGCTTTTCCACATACATTTTAGAATCAGCTTACAGTATTTACTCTGTGTGTATATGTGTGTGTATGCTGAGAAATTTTATTGTGTTAAATCTATAGGTCAACTTGGGCAGAACTCATATCCTTACTATGTTGAGTCTCCTAATCCATGAACATGGTATGTCTCTCCAATTATTAGGCTGTTACTTGATTTCTTTATATCAATGTTCCGTAGTGTTTAGCACACAGTGGCTTTATCCACTTTGCTATATTTATGCCTAAGTATTTTACTTTGGGGGAGCTGTTGTAAACAGTATTGATTTTTAAAAATTTCATTTCCCAAGATAATTTATTTTTTTGGCATGTGTGTTGATATTCATCCTGCAACTTGCTAAACTTAATTTTTAGTTTAAAGAGGTTTTTTTAGTGTGTTTCTCTCAGGTAGGTTAGGGTTTTCCATGTGTCTCATTAGATTTTAATTTTAATTTTCATAATTACTAATGAGATAGAGCTTGTGTGTATTTATTAGCCATTAATATTTCCTCTTCTATGAAATTTTTATTGCTTCTATTGGTTACAAATTTTTAATACATTTGTATTTTTCTTGTTGAGTCATAGGAATTCTTTCTGATAGTGTGGGCTTATTGACTGTTATAAACTTTGCAGACATATTCTGTCAGTACATGTGTCAAACATTTTATGGTGCCTTTCAATGAACAAAGTCCATAATTTTAAGACAGTTGATTATGTCAATATGTCCCTTTATAGACTATGCTTTTTATCAAGTTTAAAAAATCCTTTTCTACCCTGAATCATAAGGACATTCTTTCATCTTAGACTTTCCTTTTGGGATAATTTTCTTTCTTCCTGAAGTACAACCTTTGGTAGTCTCTTTAGTGAAGGTCAGTTGGTAGTCATTTGATTTAGGAGAAAATGTCCTCAATTTTCCCCCGAGAATTATTTTCTCTCAGTATTTCTAAGATAAATTCCCACTGCAGTTTTCATATTATTTCATTGCATTCTGGCTTCCATTAGTGCCACTGTGAGGTCAGCTGTTGAACTATTGTTGCTTTGTAGGAATCTGTCTTCAGTATCTGGCTGCATTTTGGGTCCTCTCTCTCTTCCCTTGGTGTTCTGCAGTTTGTGTAATAAGAAATACAATGTGTTGAGATGTGGGTATCTTTTTGTTACTTTCTGCTTAGTATTTATTTTTAGATTCAATATCTGATAGTTCTATTAACTTGGTCTTAGTAGTGTGATTCTGCAGGTTGTTGTATTCACCAAGCCATGGAAAGTGAATAAAAATGCTGTTATGTGGTCAATATCCAAACAATACTGGTCATTAGTGGGAATGGGATTCAGGACTCAGCAACTGCACCAGGATCTGTAATATTTTAGGAGCACATTAGAACTCTGAAGGCAGAATATTATTTGTGCCATTTATCACTGTATCCCTGTTGCCCAGCACAAGGTCTGGACAAAAGCAGATGGGGAGAGAAGGAGGCCAAATAAAAATTCTTTAGAATGAATCTATAACAATACCACCATCACCTCACATTAACTAGGTACTTTACAGTTTATAAAAGTCACTCACTTGACTGCCTCATCTCATCCACACAACAATTCTAACTCCTTAGAAAGACTGGAGAGCTGCCACTTGATACCGTCCACTGCTTAGTATGAGTGAGCATCTGCAAAGGGGTCCCTGTCCCCCTCCTGCCATCAGAGGCTGCTCTGACCAAATGTAGCCATATACGCATTATTTTACATTTCCATATTTAGACTTCAGCATAGTCTATGGGCGGGGGGGATGCTGCACTACAGGGGATTGAGGCCTGAGGTCACACAGGCAGTGCATGGTGGACCCAGACATGGGGTGGGACACTTGTGGGTCATGTCCCAAAACCAGGCTCCTAGAATGTGCCTAGAGGGTGGCTTACCAGGGCTGCAGCTCAGATCTGCTGGGGGAATCAAGGGCCTACAGGGGGATGTCATACCCATGGTCTCAAGGAGCCCAGAAGTGAGTGGACTTCTCGCTCTGCGCATTAGTTATGCTTTAGGAGTCCACGTTCCCACCTTTTATGACAAGCCAAGGGACTCTGAGCATTTGAGAATCTACACAAATACATGGGAGTCTTTTAAAATGACTTTAGTTTTGCATAATCAGTGACACACAGAGAACTGTCACTCACTTAGTATCTCCACACCCCTCCACCTTCTAAACAGTAGGAGGGATCCTGGCCAAGGACTAAGTCCAGGTGAATTGAAATCCAACAGAGTTTGTTATCTCATTTCTGTTTCAAGCAGTCTAGGTTGGATTCTTTATACGTGTAAGAACTTTTGAGTATTTGTTTTTATTACTCTTTTTTAAAAACTCATGTTTAGTTTTCCAAATTTTCCTGGCAGCCTAAGCTGCTCTCCCATTATAATGTTCATTTTGTGTTTCCCCATGAGCAGGAGATATTTTTAGATAGTTGGGGCTGGCTCTCATAGTAGAGGAATATTTTATTGCAGTTAGACATTCAGAGCAAGTATATTTCATGTATAACTTTGGCAGGGTCTTTTTCTTGTAAGCAAACACACATATTCTTTTTTTTTTTTTTTTTTTTTTACAGAGCCTCAAGCAGTCACCCTGGATAGAGTGCTGTGACATCACAACTTACAGCAACCTCCAATCCTGGGTTCAAGTGATTCTCCTGCCTCTGCCTCCCAAGTAGCTGGGACTACAGGTGCCTGCTACATCATCCAGCTATTTTTGGGTTGCAGCTGTCATTGTTGTTTGGCGGGCCCGGGCTGGATTTGAACCTTCCAGCTCAGGTGTGTATGGCTGGTGCCTTAGCCACCTGAGCCACAGACACCGAGCCCAAAGACACATATTCATGTATACATTTTCCAAAAGGCTGACCTGAAATTCGAAAAAACCTTTTAAGGTGGGATGAAGCTTCACAATAGGTTTGTTCACTAGCTCTTCCCTAGAACATGGAGAAAACCCTCATACAGAGAAAGTTGGTTAAGAACTACTCGGGAGGCTGAGGCAAGAGGATCGCTTGAGCCCAAGAGTATGAGGTTGCTGTGAGCTATGAGGCCACGGCATTCTACCCATGGTGACAAAGTAAGACTTTGTCTCAAAAAAAACAAAACAACAACAACAAAAAAACCTAGAATTCATAAGAACTAGAGTAACAACCTCCAGATTGGAGACTGGGAAGAAATGGCTGATTCCAGGTTTGGGGCAGGGAGATTGAGCCTGGACGTTCTATTATACCAGATGGTGAGAAAACTTGCAGAGGCTCCTGGGTCAGGTCAAAAGGACTCAGGTAGGCTCCTTCTGGCCAAAGATGGGACAAGTGGAGCCTCAAATAAGGATAATTGCTACGATGGGTTGGAATACATCAGCTAAGTTGAAATCCATGAGTTTACAATGATACTTAAAACAAAAAACATCTTTGGTCACTTTTGGAGGATGCTTGTTATTTTGACAATGACTTAAAAAAGGAAAAGGAACAAGTAAAAAA